GTGTTGTAGCTATAAACTAGATAAAATTTTATAAAAAATCCAGGTTTTGTCCCAGAACCCTCAAAATTACACAACAATAGGAGGATCATATAAACATTCCTCCATAAACCATTATTATGTACTGTATATATAAATAATCTCGAATATGTAACAAGAATGGATAGAAGGTATTACAGAGTAATTAATTATATCAGGTCATTTATTAAAGGAATCAATAAAAATGATCAGTCATGTTTAATAACTTAACCTTAGAATCGCTTTGTTCGTTCTGTCCGATTTTGTTGTCATTTGCTCCCAATCTAACCTCTCTTATACTTGTAAAAAACCTTTTCACAAGTTGATTTACGAAACCATTAAAAAAAGGAAATTTCTCTAGAAGAAAACTTTTGTGAGATAGTAAACAAGAAAATTAGAACTTTTAATAGATATCCTTATATTTTTAATTATCAGGCAGGTCCTGTGTAATCACTGGCAGAAATAAACATATTATAATCATGTGATACAATCAGTTTATCGTTTAATAATAAGAATATATTTGAATTAAAGAAAAAAAAATATTTCTGCCAGTGATTACACAGGACCTACCTGATAACAAGAACTTACAATGATAATAATGGTAATAGCTATTGTTGAAAAAACTAATGATATATCTATAACTTGTAATAAAGTTGATCAGAGTTTAACTCAAGTTATGAAAGATGTTGGAGATTTAACAAGATTGAAGAAGAAATAATGTACTATTACCAAGAATCAGATAAGAGCTTGATGATGCAGCAAGAAAGGAACTTCAAGAAGTAATTAAATATAAAAAAAATGAATGAATGTTAATTTGATTATTTTTATTTTATTTTTAAGTTAACACAAAATATGACATTAGAAGAAATATGAAGAGAAAATATAAATCTTTATAATATTGTTGATCCTAGTGCTATAAACGCACATAATGAAAGACAAGCAAAAGTATTAATCAATAATTCATATGTTTGTTTGTAGTTATGGAATCTGATTTTTTAATTTATATTTAATTTTCTTTTAGATAGATCTGAAATAGAAACAAGAGAATCATTACTAAAGGGTATCATTTGCCATACATTGCACATTTATATATGCACACATACATAAGGTATAAATCTAAAAATTATATTTCTTGTATAATAGGAACCTAAATTATATGAATTGGTTTAAAAATGTTGCCAAAATCTTTTCAAATGCATTTAATAGTAACTGTTATCATCATTATTACATTATAAATATTTTTCACTAAATTTGGGAATCACAAAAATAGGATCGGCTTATCAAAATTCGGTTTATGATACAAACAGGGCTGGCAGCGTAAAGGGTTAAAAACCTAATTTAGTAATAATCACCTGACTTAATATATGACTAAATAGTTGGTCAGTTTAGCCAAATGCTCATTTGAGTTACGCAGCCCAGCCCTGGATACAGGCTTACAACGTTATAAAATATAAATTTTACAAAATTATTCTAAACAAAAATATTTATCTAAAGATTGTTGCACGGAACTATTAACCTTATGACTTAACAATTTTTTTCTAAGAGTACGAATACATAAATTTTCAACACCCAATTATGGTATCTATAATAGAAATTTTTGGAATAGAGGTTTCATCCTGTTGCTCATCTATTTCTATTTCTGTGTTGAATCAATGCAATAATATCCTCGTCTTTTTATTAGAACTTGACATGGTTAAAGATAGAAAGCAGAGTTGTTGGGTGATTGACCATTTTTAAACCGAGTTTATCATTATAAGACGAATTTTTAAAACCAGTTTATGATCATATTCGGCTTAGAAAGTTGTATTTTTGTTATTTTGTACAAACCATTAAGTTCGGTTTATCAAGTAAAGTAGAAATTATAATAAAATTCGGCTTAACGAAATAATTTTTATTAAATATGATTTGGTTAACCAATTTTGCATCGTCATAAAGCGAAAATCGGTTTATGGTAGTTCGGTTTATCGAGGTTTGACTGTACTCATGAAGATTATGACAAATGGGGTATAAATTTTCTGGTATTCTTTTATTTGTATTTGTTTAATAGCTTCTGAATTTTTGTCAGATTGTAATTGTAAATATCATGCATCTTATGTTGGTAATGTATAATGGCAATCTAAAAGAATGAACTAATGAGTGATTTAAGACAATCATTATTTTTAAATTTTATGATGTAGAATTTTATATTAGTTTAAAAGGCATTAAAAGCCATTCTTAAACCATGATAATTTTCGACCTTCAAAATACATAGAATCCCAACAAGTGAGTGAGCTCTAAAATTGTCAAAGAAAAAATAAGGTTTAAAAGTCTGTTGATTACAATACTTTTTATTATGGATTTTTAATATAATAATATAGTTGGCTCAGTCTAAAGACTTCCGCAAATTTTAAATGTATAGAAGTCATTTTCAGTCCTACCTCTTAAAAAAATAGCCTCATTAGTTGATATAATAGGTCTCTAGTTTTAATCTAATGAAAAGATTTTATCAAAAAAATATTATTTGTTGTATAGTCCTACTATTACTATGTTCACGAGGAATTTGAACACCATGATCATTTAGACTAACACGCGACCATCATATCTAAATTTGGCAGTAAGTTAACTAAAGTCACGTGAAGAATTTTTTTAAAAAAAAATTGTGCGCTAATACTAATACTAATAACTGATATGAATCATGAAATTGCCAAGCGCATGGCGCAGCAAACCATATAAAATAGAAAAGATTGTTTTTTTTATTAGTCCTACAATAATAAAAATTTTGTGAATTTCCATAAAAAGGGTTTAATATATTAATATGATTTGGTCTAAACATTTTTTATAATAATTCAAAAAAAAATGTCATTTCAAGATTTATTATCATCATTATCATCAGACAGAGAAAACTTTCTATTTAGTACTTATTCTGAATTAGAAAATAATTCTGCATCAATTGCAAATGATATTACTTCGTCAAACATATCCAGAAGAGAAATTCAAAAGACTACATTTTTATCATTAATAACTGAAAATGAAAAACTTTCAGAAAATGAAAAAGAATATTGTAAAGAAAGATATATTTATGAATTTGAATTGGATAATGCAACTTATAAATTGGGTGAATTAAGAAAATGTCCTAATTGTAAGTTAGATAGATATTCAGACAGATTTTGTGAAAACTGTATTTCTTTACATTTACAGAAGCTTTTTGATACATGGTCATCTGGAAACAACATCATTGATAATTTTATTCAAGAATGTCAAAAGATCTCATCTCTTCCTACACAAATTATGGAATGGATCCCATTTGATCAATTTGAAGACGTAAAATATTTAACTAAAGGAGGTTTTGGTAGCATTTATGTTGCCACATGGAGAAAAGGGCGTATATTTGACTATGATGAAAATAAAAAAGAATTTATTTATCATGGACCTCATGCTGTAGTATTAAAACTACTAAATAATTCAAAGAAGTCGGTGAAAAATTTTTTTGAAGAGGTCAGCAGTAAAAATTATTTTAAATTAAAAACATCATTATATTAAACATTATATTAATTGATTTCATATAATCTTTCAGGCATTAAATTATTATAAAATTAAATCTGGATCAGTTGTTCCCTGTTATGGTATAACTAGATTCCCAGAATATAGCAACTATGCAATGGTTCTAAATTACCTTAGCCAAGGAAATTTAAGAGATTATTTGCAAAAAAATCATTCAAATTTAACTTTAAAAGACAGAATTACAATCTTTCAAGGTTTATGTTCATCATTAAATGATATTCATCAAAAAGATTTAATACATTGTGATTTACATAGTGGTAATGTATTAGTCCAAGGAAATTGTTGTTTTATTACAGATTTGGGATTATGTGGGCCAGTTGATGATGAATCATTAAACAAAATATATGGAATTGTATCATATATTTCACCTGAAGTTTTTCGAAAAAAAAGCAAAAATACAAAAGAAACAGATGTATATAGCATTGGAATGTTGATGTGGGAGATATTTTCAGGACATCCACCTTTTGATGATAGAGCACATGATCATTATTTGATTATAGACATTTGTAATGGTTTAAGACCACCAATTTTACCAAATATGCCAAAAGAATATGCAGAGATGATGCAAAAGTGTTGGGATGTTGACCCATCTAGAAGACCAACTATTAATGAACTTTTTAACTTTGCTAAAGATTATTCAACAAAAATTTATAAAATTGAAGATTTAAGTAATGAAATTATAACTTCTACTACTAGCAATTCAAATAATAATAATTCACAACAAATACAAAAATCACATCCATTTGCATATCATTCAAGCAGAATATTAGATGATGATATTGTTAGATATATAAGTTTACAACATGAACTTGAACTTGGCCCAGTATCCAAAGTAATTGACTATTCAAGCAGAATATTAGATGATGATATTGCTAAATATAAAAGTTTACAAGACAAACTTGAACTTGGTGCAGTATCTAAATTTGTTTCTGAAATTGATGATAAATGAAATTAAATTAAATTCTATTATGATTAATTGTTTACTAATTTTTAATTTTTCAATTAAAATTAGATTCTAGTAACAATAACAATGGTAAAGGAAATGATGTAGAAATGATGGATGTGGTCAATGAAATTAATGAGACCAATGAAATGATTGTGGAATGGAATCAAGGTAATATATAATGATGTTTAAGTAAAATTTTAAGGAATGAATAATCAATGAAATTTATGTATTTTTAAAACAGTAGAAATCAGCAATAAACCTAACAATGATTCAATTAAACTTTTTAATGGTAAATTTATTTTAAGTTTCCTTTTTATCTATTATTCTTATTTATAATAATTTATTTATTTTATTAATTAAATATTAGTTGAAGTTAAGGATATTGTCACAACTGAAGGTAGTTATTATTTGGTTCATATGGTATTTTATATCCTGATTAAATTTTTTATTATCAATTTTAGAAATTATGATGTTGGGTGAATTATCAATGGATGATTAATTGTTCACATTAATATCGATTATGATTTAGCATGTATTATTATTATTTTAAATAACAAATAAATAATTTTATGGATTTAAATATTTAAATAATCCTATATGTATCTTTTTTCAACATAAAAACAAAAAAATTGCCGTGTCCTCACAAATTAATATTTCTACATACATCCATATCCTTTTTTATTGTTGCCAATTTTGCATTGTGCATTGCTTTCTTTGCTATGCGACACTCTTCTGATTTATTTTATTAATGAGAGGTTCTTTATATGTATATATTCGATTGATCTCTGAGATTTTTGTTGATTTACTAAAAAAAAATTAAAAGGATGCAATTCAAACAATCTTTTTTAATAAATATTAATTAATCGGTATACAATATAGGAATTAGACATTCTCTCCCCAATAAATCTCCTTCTTTAAACAATATTAAATTATTTTATATTAGAAAATCAGTCAGTATGTACTACTACTTTTTGAAAAGTTCTACTAGATTTTTCCGTATATAAAAATATTAAATTATCTCACACCTAATACTAAATGTTTATCACTGACGGGAACGTAAACCAACCAGATGAAATAGATTCAATTAATCCATTCAAAATCTTAAAAGGTTCACCACACTTATTATTATATTGATATCAATGGATCCATCAATAATATTAATATAATCTAAGAAAAAGCAATACCTATTTTTGCATCTTTTGATCTTCACTCAGTAGATTAGCAATCCTGTGACCTGAAACTAGTAGGAGTTTAGGTTCAGGTTCTCTCTCAAAATTGTTTCAAAAGAGTTTAGAGTCGTCGCAGCATTAGTTAGCTGTGTGGATCTTTATTTAAACTAATATAAAATCGTAGCCAAAAGTAACTTTTTTGGTTCCGCGGGGAATGACTTTAAATATAATAGCGCGATCAACAAGCTTTTTCTTCTTTTTTTACGAATAAATATTTCTTACATTTCATAAAATGAATGTGATCAAATTATCTTTAGTACCTGAGTTTGAAATGCACATAGGAAGTCAATATTGGTATGCAGAGCAACTTTTATATACATATGAGTTGATGCTTTGACTTTAAGGCTAACATTAATGTTAATAATAAAATAAACACGTCTTGAGCTGTCTTCAGTACCTGAATTTGAAACGTAGATAGACTGGTAAATGTAGAACGACTTACATAATAATATAATATAGGTTCAATTTTGAAGTTTTAAATGTGATTTGTTTTCTAAGAAAGTAACCAAAATTCAAAGCCACGTTATAAAAATTATATCGGAGGGTCAAGAGATTTTAAACTATTACATATAAAAACAAGTCTAATAAACGAATTATGTTATTCGAATAATAAACAAATGATAACAATTCAAACAAAACGAATGATTTGAATAATTCGAACGAAAATTTTTATTACGAATAGAAACTCAACTCTATTGCAGAGTCACTAAATCTGGCACAATAATGTTCAAACTAAACTAAAATATACAACTACACTACTTGAGGCGTCCCTACAAGCAATATAGTAAAACTAATAAAAGGGGTCTCTAACTAATAATTAAATGTTGGCCAAACCATTAATCATCAGAAAGGGTTATGAATCAATCAATCATGCCAGATTTATCAATTAATGAAAAGTGTTATTTTTATTACCAAAGTGTTATTATTGAAAGATCAATTATTTTTTAAATTTTTCACTGAAGGAAATTTCAAACATGATTTTGTCCAATAAAATAAAATAAAATAGAATGATAAACAACAACTAATTGACAATTACTAAAGTTAAATGTCAAAAATGAGTCATTGGTGATGTCATGATTAAATGCTACCTGATGAAATGTTTTTGTCATAATTAATTAAAAATAAAATTTATCTTCCTTGAAATATTATTAAACAGAAAAGTATGGCAATGTGACTCTGGATACATTTATATTGCACCAACTCCATCCTATTCATTAATGGCATAGTAGACTTTGATGAACCTTTCTTTGAAGCCAACATACCTTTAACAGGATAAGTTTCTGTATTATTTTTGCAGGAAAATCAATTAAAAGTATCACAATTCAATTGCGCCTAGCCTCCTTGTCATGATATGTTTTCAGTATGTGATATATTTCACAAATCCTGTGGATATCACATATTGAAAATTTATGTGAATAACCATCCTGTCTTCTTGCTTTACACAACAATAGACATTGGGTGAGCAATAGGTTTTGTCTGATTATGGCTGAGGGAATATGGTTCTCCATTTGATGGTTACAGTGGTGTAATCTGATACTTCATGACCAAATTATACAATATTTTTTCCATGGTGGAATGTCTGCATGGATTGCATTAAGTGAGATGTTTTTTTTCATGTAAGTAAAGCTGTGCATGTGGATCATTCCATGGTTTTGAAATTTGTCATGTTTGAAGAAATGCCTAATTCACCATCCCAAGGTCTTTCCACAACTTGTTCTGACATATTGTGGTAGTGCAGGTAAATGTGCAATGGGTAATTTCTTGGCCATAATATTGCTGTTCCATGCAAGTTGGCCTGTTTGTCTTTGGTCATCATTCAAGTTATAGAAGATCTGAGGAAGCCTTTACACACTTATTTCTTTTTAAAAAGGAAATTCAATGGCAAGGTTGTGGTTTTTGGTAGATGTTTGCATTTTTGGTAGCCACTATCTGGCTCTAATTTTGAAAATTCTTCTTTTCTCAAGCATCAATGTGGATAGTACCAATACAAGAAGAGCCTAGCTATCTATTGAGGGTAGTATTTTTAATATACTCATAGTGCCCCTTTCCATTGGGGGAAACATCAAAGCTTTCAGATCAGGGTTTCCAAATAATACCAGAAGTTTGACATTGTTTGATTCAACAAACTCACAATCAGTATACTGTAGTTTGTGTCAGTTGGCTTTTTATTTGATAATTTTTATTATATTTAAATTATTCAGATACATGTATTAAATTTTAAGATTTTTAATATTAATAAATTATTTATA